AAACCTCCAGTAGGACCGCCAAATGAAAGTGCGAAGCCTCCCAGGCCATCAATTGGTATTGGTCGATCATCTACCCCGGACCTCAAAAACTTTGCTCGTGAAGGATCTTCTTGAAAGCTTGAGACCAAATCACATCAACGATGGTAGAGGGGTATAGAGCCGCCATAGGGAATCTGAGAGCCAATCTCTCCTAAGATCGATCAAAGTGAATTGATCATCAGAGCTAGTGCTCACCTTCACCCTCTTGGTCTGCATCAGGACCCATGCCCTTCAGCTTCTTTCAAGGAGGGGGAGGCGAGACATTCAGATTGATTGTTGGAACTTTCCCCTTACGGCGGCGTAGCTCCCCTTCCTGGACGGTTGGCTCGCTCGGGCTCAGACTCGGGTTTGATCGGCAATAGAAGAAAGGCAACTAGCTTTACCCCTCACTGCAACTCAATAAATATCAGAGTGGCCAACAAAGGGGTAATTGATCCCGTCTTCAGCTTTATGCAGAGGCCTCTTCTCAGCACCGCTCAATTCCAATTGGCTTGGCGTCCTTTCAACCTTTTGGTGTTGCGAACCCAAAGGACCTGCAACCGATAGAGAGATTTTAACAGGCATTGCAGAAGAACTTATCCCTATAAAAATTAGCTCGCCAGTGGCGATACTTTGAAAAATAATATAAAACTCAAACACATAATAAATCAGTGTCGCACCTTCAAGTTCTTCAACGACACGTGCCACCAGAGGAATATTTTGATCCGCTACTTTAGCAAAACTTGGGGCGGGAGGTTTCAGTTCGAGAGCCGTGCAAGTCATCTTCTACGTACGTCAGGCAACAGCCTCTGCTTCCCACTCAGCCTCCTAAGCATCAAAGGCTGCCCAATCTGCCTCTATCATTCGCCCGAACGCCTCCAGTCATAGCACCCAGTTGACAATTACAGGATGGAGATACTGGTGGACCAAAAGTTATTAACTGTCGACCATTACAACTTACACTAGTACCCGATCCAGTGCTTTCTTCTTGGATTTGGCGGAAGAGTTCCCGGACGAAACACTCTGGATGTTTCAGCTCGATGGAGAAGAATCAATGTAGAATCGAAGCTTCTAGTCCTTCACCTTATTCTCCATCTTTAGCAGCTAGAGAATACCCACAGAGTCAAGCTAGACATAACCTCCCAGTTCGACCCGAATGGAATAAGTACGTAAAGAGCTCCATCGACCATGGAACTTCAAACAAATGGCAGAAGATGACGAAGGTCATAATGACGGCAATGAGATTAGGCAGAATCTGAGCAGGGATGACTCCATAATAGTTGAAGATGGCCCAAAACTCACGGCAAATAGGCAATCTCAAGCCGAAGCAAATTGCTCCTTGTAGAAGATGAGTTCGGGGTCGTATGGAGTGGTCGTTTGGTCGCGCTTATTGACGACCCGAAGCCTGATGGATGAATTATACACGCAAGCATCCTACAGCCGATCCACCTCCCCTTGGGTGATCGTCAATCATTCGGTTGTGACAATCAACCAAAAAACTTTCGAAGATTATTTTGGAGCCATCAGAATAGAGCACAAAGAACAGAAAGTTGATGGAACGAGAAGAAGTGAAGAGTAAAATGCAGTAAAAGCGTATCGTCAATCCAATTCCTCACCTTTATATATAGAGCAACAAAAGAAGTGGAATGAATCACCACACAGGAGTACAACAAAATTGTACATTAATTTCAAAAATACACTGACAGAAAAATCATATCAACACAAGATTTGAAAATGAAAAAAAAATTATTTCAGGAATAAACATTACGAATAACACTAAAAAACTAGACCGAGAAAAATATTTTACAAGGAGATCGTCTGTTGCTTCGACCAAGACATAACCCCGCCGATGCAACCATTTATACAAACTTCTACCTCAAACTTGAACTAATTCACCAGGTTTGTCTAGGCTTGAGCCCGAAGAATAAGGCACATGTCTTGAACATCCTTCCTGGTGAAGAGAGGCCGTCTCCTCCTCCATCCTCTCTGATCTCTCGACACGAGCTAGCAGCTCACATATCTGCTCTATTTGAATATCACCCGATCGAGTGAAGGAGTTCCTGGTTTCATCCAAACGACTAGCCACCGACCTAGGGGACGTCCAACGTCCATCAGTTATTTCTCTGCAGCCCATGCAAGGGTTGCCTAGGTAGTCAAACATATATCATCCTCGCTCGAGAGTCGGCTACTCCCGGTCAGTGCCTTGGCAATTGCAACCAGTGTTGTGGTTGGATTCTCACCAACGTTTGTCGGAGATGAGTAATCACACAGGTCTAGCGGACCAGCTACATTAAAAGACGACGTAAATAAAAGAAGACCCAAAAAAAATCAAAACCTAAAAAGTAAGATTGATACTCCTCATAACAAGGAATCGATCTCACTCAGAAGATATAATTGACATAGCGCCCCCACCGGGTGGCAAGCACCAGTAGCCTCCTAGGCCTCAGACGGAGGTAGAGCACCAACAGCTTCTTTCGTCTCAAACAACGGCAAAAAACAAATAACTTCTGCACGGTTTGTTCATTCGGCAAGTCTTGTGTCGCATTAGGTTGAGTCGATGGATTGATGGCCAAGTCAGTCACCCAAACTTTCCTCGGTTGAAGACCAAGAAACGAATCAGACGACCCCATTTGATCCACCAACGCGACTACTTTTCTCTTCTTGGTAGCAGTTTTCTTCTTTGGTTCACCTTTCGGACAGTACCACTCCTTCAATCTCCCAAAAGTAAGGATGTGAAAACAGCTCATTGTTCTCGAACGATTCGTGTTTGGCTCGTTAAGGAGCTCATGTTCAATTCGTTCGCTAAGTTAACGAACCGAACACAAACAAATTTTTTTTCGCTCAATATAAATGAGTCATACATAAACAAAGATTTGTCCGTTCATGTTCAACTTGTTTTGACTCGAAATTATTAATATATATATATATATATATATATATATATCA